TGTATCTTAAAAGAAATTAAAAAGTAAGAATGTGTGATGATTAGGGAACCTTTGTGTCATCAATCTGCCTCATCCTTTTCTTAATTTCAAAAAAGGAACAGTTAAGCTAGTACAGCATTTACAAATGGAAGTGTTAAGATCTAAATCTACCACTGTAGATCAACTGTCATATGCTCACAAATAGCCTGGTAAAACAGCTAAAACGCTGTTGTAATAAGGAAGTAGAAATTATTTGTAAAGACACAATCATTAGAAAAAGTGACATAAATGGAGGCAGGAAGGCAGAAACATGATTGTCTATTTACAGAGGTCTCAGGCTATCTGTCTGTACACACAGTGCATAGTTTTCCTCTTTTGTGGTAATAGAAAAACCCAAACAGGCAATTTTCTAGACAAGTAAATGAATAGGTATAATGGTTTGTGACATTTTAAAAATATAAACGGACACATGGAATGTCCTGTTTCCTAATAGTATAATTTTGACGCATATGAATTCTGTCAACAGATAGAGTAAACAAAAATAATACAGGGGATAGGGAAATAAACACAGCTTTTATACACTGCCCACAGCACACTGTTCATGCCTTGCTTCTATGAATAGTTTATACTCCCGCATGCTTTTTGCAGAAACAGATTGCAGATGTAAGAGGGAGAATCTCCTTGAGAAGATAATTTCCACATATAATGCACCTTATCGTTTTCTATCTCTCTGCTACTCCTTCATGTTCATTTTATTGATTCTTCTAAATCAAATTTATCTGCTCTCATTTACCCATGCACCCATTCCTGTTGGTGTTTCTTACTACTCAGCTTTTCATAGATTCCTGAGTTCTGTTCAACTTGTTTTTATTTTTATAAATGAAATAACTAAAACACCGTGAAAAGCCTCTGGAATCTTTCTCTGGTGGGTAGAAAATTGATACCTTGTCTTACATGTAAACTTTTGGTCATATACAGATGAAGGAAGCATTTCTAGGCTGTTTATACTATACATGGTATGCATGGCTTGGCCATATTTGTAGACACATCATCTTGATCAGAGAGAAGCATGCTGACTGATTGAAGACAGGGAGAATGTACAGAGATAATTTTTTTAGGTGTTGCCTTTACATTGTCAGTCTGCTGGGAGATGAAAAACTGACCCAGGCAAATGAAAGCAGATCACCCTGCCAGGGCAGTGGAAAATAAATGTGCTTGTGAGATACACTAGTTTACTTTGGGATAAGAAATAGTTGAAAGTTTTGGGAATATTGCCACCCAGCTTGCTGGATATCTAATAGATCAATTTAGATTGTGATGCAGAACAGTCACAAAAGCTTGAGCTGATAACCCTCTGCGGGGGAGGTGGGAAGGGCATTATGATGACTTGTATTTCAGTCTTTAACCATGAAGTTGGGTACGCTCACCATTTTCTTTCATATGTTTTCTCCTTTTGTGAACTGTGATTCGAATCCATGTCCCTGTGCTTGCTAGGTGAATGCTCTACCAGTGACTACATATTCAGCTGTAGTGCTTGACTTCTGGATAATAAGGTTGAACATACCAAGGTCTTTGTTTTGGGTTTTCTGTTTGTTTGATTTTGGCATAGCGTAGTCCTAACTCCCTTTCCCAAGTCAAACTCAACTTTGTGTGTTACACAATGTACTATTTTGAATCTCTGTATGTGTGCCTGTGTGTGCATATGTTCACCTTTCTGTCAGCACATAGACCTGTACATATGGAGGCCAGAAATTGATCCCAGATATCTGATTCTACAACTTCCCACCTTCTTTTTGCTTTTTTGTTTTGAGACAAGTTCTTCCACTGATCATGGAGCCCTTGGGAGGATGCACTAGCTAGTGAGTTCCAGGGATGCTGTGTTTCTACACACACTGTGCTAGGGAGTTCCAAGGTTGCTGTGTTTCTACGCACACTGTGCTAGAACTACAGACCCATGCCACTCTGTGGAGTTTTCACACCATTGACAGGGTCAGAACTCAGTTCTGCCTGCCTCCATGACCACTGTTTTACAGACTGAACCATCTCTCCGGCTCTAGTCTTTTGTACTTCTTTCTGTGCTCCAGGCCTGCTGACTGCTTTCAGAACTCTAGCCTCTGCCTCTGCTTCTCCTTGTCCTGCCTACTCTGGCTAATCTCTCTCTTTTCTTCAAAAATCTCCTGAAGTCTTTCTTAACCACACTATTTAGAAAAGATTCCCCTCTCTCCCTGCCTTCCTCTCCTTTACCCCCACCCCCTCTCTTTTACCAACCATAGCAATTCCCTTTTAACATTTTTTTAAATGTATTCATAACCTGATTTGTTTGATAATCTTTTGTCTATGCCTGGTCTCTTTATCAAGATTACTACCAAATTGAGGAAGGATCAAATGTCTCCGGTATAGACAGCTCGGAGATAATATTTTGTCCAATCCGTCTTCCCACTCTGTCATAGTTTCCTTTCTGTGGCTGTGATAAGGCACCATTGACAAGGGCAACCAGGGAGTCAAAGGGTCATTGTCTTACAGGACTCAACCACAGTCTATCATGAAGAATGCTGAGGGCAGGAACTCAAGGAAGGAACCTGGAGACGGGGTAACGGAAGAATGGTGCTGACAGGCTTGTTCCTCGTGGCTTGCTTAGCCTGCTTCCTTATACAACCCGGAACCACCTGCCTGCCCACAAGACAAATTTTCCAATGGAGTCCCCTTTTCTCAACCAATTCTAGTTTGTATCACACTGGCAAAAAATGAATCACCGCACATACACAAAAAATTCTCTCTCTCTCTCTCTCTCTCTCTCTCTCTCTCTCTCTCTCTCTCTCTCTCTCTCTCTCTCTCTCTCTCTCCAAAAACATACTAGTATAAATACACCATAGATTTTGGGCTATTGATACAATATTAGAATATAAACATCTAGTAAGAAACTCCACTAACGGATGATGGACCATTGCTACCATCCTTCTTTCTTTGCCAATGCCTTAAAGAAACCTAGTGTTCAAATGACTTCACAGACTATCAGATGGTTCTCTCTTATAGTTCTATTAGTTGCTTTAAAGTAAATTGGCTCCTAATAATATCAAAAAGCACCTAGTTGCAGAACAATAGTTCTCTCATTACTAACAGTATGTTCTTGTGTGTGTGTTTGCACAGACATGTTTGTGAATGTGCAATAGGTACTTGGCTCCTGCAGGTGTCAGATTGAAATCCTGTGAGCTTTCGGGGGAAGAGATTATTTGTCACTCGTATTAGCTTTGTAAGAGTCTTCTATGGTTGCTTATGCATGGGTTCTTTCTTTCAGTCCCATAGGAAAATCAAGAAATGGTAAAAAAAAAAAAATACTAGCTGTTTGCTTTTCACACCTATGAACACGCTGCTTCCACCCTTTCCTAGAAAATGCTGACCATGAGGTCACTAATGGCACTTGGTACAACTCAGGAACAGTGAAAGGTGTGGGGGGTAGTGTCTTGGCAAAGATCTCTCTAGTTGTAGTGCCTATTATAAAACCAAAACACAGAAGAGGGTCTGGAGCTGTGGGAGCACAGAATGATTTCAGTTAAGGAGTTTAGGTATGGCACATTTTGAGACCGGAAGCTTCCCCTCACCTCCTCCCACAAAGGCTGTCCCAGGATACTAAGAAATCTTCCATATGAATCATTCAGGCCACAAGAGCAAATCATAGGTGCTATCTCCAGTATTCCTGCTAGTTCTTTTCTGCTCTTACCCCAGCCCTCCCTGAAGCAATTCTTTTGGGGCTTGGTCTGATGTTCTGAGCCTGTGCATGTTTGTCTACACTGATCTTTGTCTCTGTTCTTGCTGATAAGAAAATCACCAGGGAGTTCTCCGAGTCTGCAGTGAGTTAGTTGACCACTTTAACGAGGCAGAGTAAAGTGCTGACTGAAGGACCTTTTGTCAGCTGCAGCTGTTCACTATAACCCTGGGCAGAGACAAGGGCCCTGGGGCCAGAGATTCTTTCTCTTGCCAGTCTCTTGTGACAGGTGTCACATAAAAGTGACACCCGAAACCCTGTTTACCTATTCCACCAGCAGAAATCATGCTCAGCCCCAGACTTCGGGTGAAGGGGCCTGACACCAGAGCACCACACATCCCTTTCAAGTCTCACACCATTGTCACGACTGGGAGCACTTGCAGGTGACACACACACTCAGGGCTTGTAGGTGACTGACCTGAGGAAGAGTCTCAGCTCTATTCCCCCTCTTACATTCCAGGCTCTCCCTCTTCACACTCCAACGGGGAGATGCACAGTGCTAATCCTGGACAGCGCATAGCAAACCCAAGACCCTATGCAGGTCGCCCCCGTGGGTTGCATCCAACTCCAATGAATTGGCATCTAAGGAAGTACTTGACTTCGTCTTTATTGGTCCATCTAAGGTAAGAGGCCGAGGCCATTCACCCTAGAGGACAGTTGTTTCCCTCTTCCACGGGGAGTCAAAGCATTAAGGGTGCCAGACCTCCCCCCCCCCCCCCCCCGGGTGAAATCCCAAACAGACACAGACCCTGCCACCTCCGCTCTGAAGGAACCGAGGAATGCTCCACCGGCCCACTAACTCCCCCACCTACTGAGCCCTGTGCGTCCGAGGCTGGCCCTCCAGCGGTGCTCAGGGACCCCGGCCCAAGCCCGGAGGCGGAAAGAGGAAAAGGCTACAAAGTTGCAGCCTCCCCTGTTCGAAGAGCCACGGTGTGAGCGTGCACCATCGGCCCCACGGGTTGTTTTTGCCTTCTGCCGCTTATCTGTCCTCTCGCCAACGGCCTCGCTACAGCCGGACGGCAGCCTGGGCTCGAACCCGTGGCCCTGGCTTCCACTGCGGACGAATCCAGGGGGGCGGGGGGGGGTGGGGGTGGGGGCGCGCGCGTGCCTGGCTCGCCCGCTCCGCTCGCTGGCCCGCTCGCTGGCTGGCTCGGCCGGCGTGCGCGCGCGGAGGGATCCGCCGGGGCCGCGCCTCCCCGCCCCGATCCCGCCCCCTCCGCCTCCTCCCGCCGGCTCCGCTTGCCGCCGCGGCGGCCGCTGCTGCTGCCGCCGCCGCCCGCCCGCCCGCCGCCGCCGCCGCCGCCGCCGCCTGGATATAGTGCGGCAAGGCGCGGAGCTTGCAGTCACTTTGCGAGGAGGAGCGCGCGGGCTGCGGGCGGCTGGGGCATCCCCGGGAGCGGCGGCGGGCTCAGCAGCGGCGGCCGTGGCAGCGGAAGGTTCCCTCTCCTCCGGGGCTGGACTTAATAACTTTGGAACTGTCCGCCGGTGTCACGTCCTGAACATGAGCCTCCACCTCTCCTTCTACCTGCTCGGGTTGCTTGTCAGTAGCGGGCAAGGTAGGAGTGCGCGGCGGCGGCTTTCTGGCTTACTTTCCCTCCCCACCCCCCTCACCCTCACCCCCCACCCCAGCTTCCAACCCAGCCCAGAGAGAGGCACAGAGCGAGGCACCCCCCCCCCCCCCCCGAGCCCCCTGGAACCCAAGGCACCAAAGTTGCGGTGCCTTCTTGAGGCGACTGTTGGGGTTTTGAGCTCTTTCTCTCTCTTTTTTTTTCTTTGCTTGCCCCCCCCCCCCCCACCACCACCACCAAATTCTCTCCGTTTGCTCGAAAGCCCCTTTCGATAAGAGGAGACCGTGCAGAATTGGGAGATAGGCATCGGTGTGAAAGGGATCCAGGAGTGTGTGTGTGGGGGGTGGGAAACTGCTGCTTCTTCTGGGATTTTTGGCTTTCTCTCTTATTACCCCAAATTGGATGAGTGTGTTGGTGGGTGTTCATAGTTAAATATCCGAGGTTGCAGAAGGGAAGGGCACAGTGGTGTGTTTTACAGAAGCGGCAAAAAAACTATCAGCATTAAAGTCGTTTATCAAAAAAAAAAAAAAAAAAATCTCTGTGGTGTTCAAGACATTCAGTTCTTAGAGATTCTTTTCTCCTTTCCCAACACCTATTCTTGGCTGTGAAGTGAACGTTTGATGGCTTATTTATGTTGGAAACTAACGGGCCATAGATGCTCTAAGACAGCAAATGGCTAAAACTAGGGTTGTGTTGCAGGCATTCATTGTGACCCCCCACCCTCCTGTGAATATAGCAAAATCCGGACACGTTCTAACATCCGATTTGAATTACACCTGTAAGGGATTTGGGAGGTTGTGGAGCATTGGGGAGTCCCTCCCCCCATCTCTTTTTCTTTTTATTTTTTCTTTTGGGTGGGGGAGGAAAAAAAGACTGTGGTAGAATAACCCTAGGGACAATTGATGGAAGCGATCTCTGCTAGTCTCTATATGGAAGACATGCATTTATCTTTCTGGCTTACATAGTACACACGTTCACATAAAATATATTCACAATCATTCGAAAGGTTTTCAACTGTCCAGACAAGTTTGGACATTTAATTGGGGAGAGAAAAATGTCAAAATGTGCAATGGTGGAAGTCGTTCAAGGCACAGGGAATAGCCACAGCTTTTCATTTGGTTGAAAGGTATAGAAATGCCATATTATTTGTGCTGCATTTTCTACGAGATTAATAAATTGCAAGATAAGTTAAAATATCTTCTCTAAATCCAATCCTAAGCATTTTTTTTTCACCTATTCGGCGTTGCTCATTTGGTCCAGCAGGGGGTGGTAGAACTCCATTTTAAGCAAGAAATGATGGTTTCTGCTCTTGCACACACTGTCCTCCTCTCATTCTTCAGCAGGGCTTGGCATTTCGGATGTCAAGCCTCCCTTTCTCTGTCCTTCTCCCCAAACTACAGTGTTTGTCAATGATGAACCAACCGCGATTGGATGCAGATTTTTATGTTCCGAAGTAAGAATGCACATGCCGGATATTGCTCTCATTTATAAAGTGCCTCAGTCTGGAGCTCCTCTTAGGATGGGAAACATTTCAGTCTCAGAAAAAATTGCAGATGGGTTCATCTGAAGCTAATATTAGTCTCATTCGTTAATTCAGTCACTTCTCTTGCAAAGATCAGCATACCCTTGTTCGCTACAAGATACAAAGCTGTCATTTTGGAAGGCTGCTGATTGTGTTTAACTGTTCATTTATAACGCACACAAGTCTGAGTCTGAAGAGACAGGCTGAGAATTTAACTCCGATGCAATTGCAGTTAAGTGAGTGTAGTGTAGAGTAATAATGGGGCAAGTTTGTGCAGATTGATGATCACACTGTGAGCTGTCTGGAGAAAAATCATCTCAGTTGTGGAGTCTGTGCATTTATCATTGCTGATGCTAAGTGTGTTGGAATTCGGGGATAGGAGTGAGATTGGAATGTTTAAGTACCTAGGTAGAAATAGTACACAAAGACAGATACACTTTGGGTCTCTATGTGTGACATGTATTTGAAATTGTGATTCAGCTGATTTATAATCAGCACACAGGGTAGTTAGAGAGAAGAACTGTGGACCGGAGGCATGCCTGCAGGGGAACCCATATTCCTTGTCAGTGAAACGGGGCAGAAGGGTGGCATCTCTGTAAAGATGATTGCTCGCTCGCTCGGTCTAGTGCCGTGGTAGGACATGCAGAGATCCATAGCTGAGTATCCAGGGGAACTAGCTTTTGTGTGAGCAAGCATGTAGTATTGCTGTGCCATGTGTCGTAATGAAGTCAAAGACGCCTAGAAACAGAAGTCCTTATCCTGGAGTCTCATTTCTCTAGGCTGCTGTTTTCTTCTCTAATTAAGGGTGCAGCAGCAAGTATCAGACACACCACTGGGAGCTGTTTTTCTTTCTTTCTTTTTTTTAATGAACCGTGTGTAACTCACATTTCTGTTTATTCTTTTATGTTTTTATTTTTATTTATTTTTTTGATGGAGCCATGAAAACCCTACCAGCCAGTGACCCTCAGGCTTGCCTTGGAAATACTAAAGCCTCAGCTGGATGATTTATGTTTCTAACAATACGCTTGCAGGGGATTTTATGAAGCATGATTGAAGCTGTTGCTTGGGAAAGTGGTGTGCAGTTTGACTGGGGAAAGGCAACGATGATGTATTCCCTTTTAAGTAGTCAAAACGTTTTGAACCACAACAGTTGAATGGACGAAAATGACCCAAGTGAAAAACCAGCTAACTTAAGTGGATGCCAATACCATAATTAGCTAATGAGGCCTAATAGCTCCAGCCTTTACTTTCAACCCTGTGTATTGTTCATGCTGGTGAGAGCTTTTTTTTTTATTATTATTAAAAATTCAAATAGAAATGTTCTTTTAAAAGCCTACCATTTCCCCTGAAGGATTAATATCTAACGAAGGAAGGTTGTCAACTTTGCTTGTAGCTTCCCATGGAAAGAAATTTATAATTATTTGACATGTGCAATTGTTTTTACTTTATATTTAAGACTTGATCACAGCCTCTGCTGTCATAGATCTTGAGTGAGTCTCTCATTAGCAGGGCATCTGCTGTCTTTTAGTCAAATTCCCAAACTGAAATAGGAAAGGGTTGCTTCTCAAAACTTTTTGCATGTTTAAAATCCTTTTCATTTTCTTTTAAGAATCATCTTATATGATCAATGCCAGTCTGTTACTGTTGATCACATATGTAAAACAGGAGTGCTGCTCCACTGAAACCGAGCAGTGCTATCTAGTCCACTCTCTTTCAATCCGTGTCAGCCATGTATACCATCCTTAAGCCTAAACCATGGGACCTGTGAAATGCCCACTCAATGAGTGAATCTGGACATCTGCGTACACTTCTTTCTGGGAAAATACTAGTGAGTAATTAACCATTAGAGATCTGTACCTTCTGAAGAGAGAGCACAGGTGTGTGGATGCCTGCTAGCTACAAGTCCACGAATGCCCCCTTTGTAGAGGCTGTAATAGCTAATGCCTCTCCTAAAACCTTTATCTGTCTACCCTGCTCTGATTCTTTGCCCACATCCCCTTTGTGTGAGATGCCTATTGAATCAACTGTATGACCGTTTAACTTAGGAAAGATAGGCTCTATAAATTAATATTTTTTTTTTTGTCAGTGAACAGCCCAGAGGATTCCCTCCCTCTCTTGATGCCCGCTGTTCTGAGTTTCATTTCCCAAGTTGAATCTGAGCCCAGTGAGCAATAGGAGAAGTTGGAAAGTCCCGAGTGTCAGATGAGTTTTTTCATCGACACAGGGGACTGAGGTTCTCTCAGGCTTAATATCTTACAGGAGAAGCAATTAAGGGAACAAAAGCAGCTCATTCAGTAAAGGAAAAAGGTCAAGCTTCATATAATTTTGTAAATAAAATGGCCTTCCTTCCCAAATGAGCTGGTTTGTTATGAAACAGAAAGGGGCTACCCAGTCTGAAGCTGGTAAGCAGGCTGAATATTGGAGCTTGTTATTAGGTACAGGAGCTGAAAGGCAGGTCAAGTGTCCACATTGGGAAGTCTCTGGACATGGTCCTGACACTTTCTCTGGCATTTGACATTGGGGACATCATTTTAACTTAATCTTTTTTTCTTCAGGGTTATCATCTTAACAATGGACTTCTGATAGTGTGAAGGAAAGTGTTTGGTTAGTAGAAGACAGGAGCCAGAGTCTGAGATGTGCTTCTGTTGTTATTTTTAACCTTGATGGCATTACTCTGGCTCTTGGTATATGCACAATCACTTAAATAATATTAGTATTCTTAAAAAGGTAGTGTGCTTGGTTCTCAGGTTTTACTGAATTCAGAAAATTCTGAATTCCTTGCATCTTTATATCCTGCCAATTATATTGAGTTTAAGACCATTTAAAAATTATAAATTAGTTTTAATTTTCAAAATTACATGATAGGAGAACACATTAACAAGAAACCAGCACTTTTATTAAAAGTAGCATTCTGCCAGTTAACAGAGCTAAGCTGTCATTAATGGCTCAGCAAACACGTGTACTTCTCTGTGGTATCCTTTTAAATATTTTAATGGATCTTTGCTGTTTTAAATTATAAGGGCGCTAATACTCAAGAGCTGACAGCATTTTTCTGAGGTCCATACATTCGCTGTGCTTCTACCAATTAATCACGTACTATCAGTTATGTTAGAAGGCTATGATGTCCTTGGCCAGACGTTCCTAGATTTAAATATTTAAGATGGGTGCAAAAGAATTTTGAGAATCTTTGTTATCAGAGACATCAGAAGATATGTTTGAGGAACTTTAGGTTGATTATAGGTTTTTGGCTCTGCGTTGTTAAAAGTATATCACAGGGAAAGCCAAAGTCATTGTGTGTAAGAGCATAAAGCCCAGGCTATCAAGGGTCTCTTGACCTTGAAGAAGCAACTGAGATTCTCAGAACAGCTATTTGCTCATTTAAAATTTTGACCTGAACATATCCTATTGCTTAATCATGATGCTCAGCCACGAGGAATAGCTGTGATCATGATACCTGTAGGCACAG